ACTATTGGACGAGACTGTAACTTTCGGTTATCTTAGATGGGTTGATGTGGGGGGTAAACATATTGTCAGTAGTCCCATAGTGTCAACAAGTTTGAGTCCACAATTGTCATAGAAATACTAACAAACTTGGGTACTTTACAAGTTAACTTATGTCCGTGATATTTTTGAATAAAATTGCATATAATCAGCGAAGGAGCTTTCAGCTTTCATGGATAGTGTCGGTTTTATTTGGTTGCAAAATCATAGGTGTGTCGGTTTTATTTACAAGTTAACACAAGGGCTGTTGATTTTTCAAATACTAGAATTAATATTTAGAGAGATATAATCACATTTACCATTCTTGTTTTACAAGAATGAATAATGAGAGTTGTAGTAAGTTTTTATAAGGGATAGAGGTTAGATTAACTAAGAAACAAAGAAAAATCAAAATAGGAGACAAATTATAAAGAGAACGAGATACTGTTATTAAGGTTGATTATATGTTCGTGACCAATTATGGTTTTCAACAACAGAGGAGGTTAATTTCTCATTAAACATAGCAGCACTTTTATACCACAAAAGGAGTTTGTATCCATTCAAACAAAAAGAGAATTGTGTTCATTGCGACATGATGTTCAGGCTTGTTAATGAAGGTGAGAAGCGAGAACATTGAGAATGTTAAAAGAAGCACGCGCATCTCGCAAAATAGAACAACCTAACAAAAGATAGACCAATTTACATCATGAAATCAAAGGTAAAAGCTATGAGAAAACCAAGATCTAAACCTATGTTTATTTCGTTTTGTGTTCTATTTTTAAACATTTTAGTCAAATAACTAAAACCTTGTTATGATTTCATTATTTTGAATTAATGATATGGGTTGAAGGAAAGAAAGGTAAAAATAAAAAGTTAAGGTGAATTTGATAAGAAAACATTGATGATATATGTTCTCATCTATTCTGGGTGTGTCACTAGTTGGAAAGTGATTTTGCAATTCACTATTACTTTATTTATAATAAAAATTGAGTATATGATATTTTTAAAAATAATAAAAAAGACTTAATGATTAAGAGGTTTAGTTAGTAATCTTGATTTGCATATAAGTTAATTGATGTGTGTTTGATTGTTAGAGCTCTATTCATATAGCCAACCATGAAAAAACCAAACATATTGATATAATATATCATTGTGTTCTAGATATCATGTCCCAAGATATTTTATTAGTAAAAAAATTTGCTAAAATTAAGAACCTTATAAATATATTAATAAAGTCTATTTGTATAGTCAAGTTCAAGGATTACTTGGACTTGATTGGTTTACGTAGTATTTGAGAGGTAGTTGATGGAGATGATAAGAAAAGTACTCAAGTTGGCTCAATTTAAATCAAGATAGGGATTTGTTAGGTTTATTTTAAAATACGGGTCAACAAGAGAAAACAAATACCAATGTATTTAGACCACATAAAAGCCTAAAGTTGTCATATTTTAGAGTAAGATTTATTTGTAAGTGTTTTTTATTATCTATATTTTGATGGCCTGAGAGGAGAGGAAAAAAAGAGTTTTTTTTGTTTCTTTGGGATTTTGGATGAAAAGATAATTTTGCAAGATCCCTTGTAATTTTATATTTTTTTCATAGTGAATTTCTCTCATGTTTAACATATATAAGTTACCAAACCATATAAATTATGTCTTGTGTGTACTCTTGTATGATTGATTGTACTTATCTTTCATATTTATTTATTTATCAATTGGTTTGAGATTTTAGAGTTGTTATAATATAAAAAGTTTAATTAGTTGCAAATTCAAATAATTATAATTGAAATATATGCATTTTGTGTGTGAATAATTCTTTGATGGCAAAAAATATTACTCTAGAATTATATATATTTTGCATGTTGGATAAAGGCAGATACAATCTAATTATATGGATAATTAGACTACATGGTATTTACAAAATTCCTAATGGCTAGTAAATACTGAGTAGAATAACAACTTTAATCTTTGAGCAAAGTGATGGCTCGGCTTCTGACCACACATTTAACATCCATATGAACTTAGGTTGATTGTCATTAAGAAAAATGATTCATACGACATCCCCTTTGTATAAAAAATAACATAACTACAAAGAACCCTAATAAAAAAAAAAATTCCACCATGATCATATGCATGATATTAAGGATTGTAGTGCTTAGAAAAAAAAATTGATTGTTAGAGGCAACCTTTTAACAATTTATAAGAAATAAAATGTAGCCCAAATAGAAAGAGAAAGAAATTGATGCATGCCATGATGAGTTTCCTGAAATTAGATAGGATCCATAAATTATATCTTTTTTTACATAAGAAAATATTTTGAACTTTTTAATAAAATCAATAATGCTTCTTTATATCTTTAAATGAATTTTTCATATATCTACTATAAAATTTTCATGTCTTTAGTGAAATCTCCATGTCTCGTTTTGTCTATGTTTTTCAATCACTCATCAATTATAATTAAAAAGGACTAGTGTTTCATTGTAACATAGGCTACTATTTACTGTAAGTGAATTCACAATGGATTGCACCATGCTACACCGTGGATTGTAAAAGCCTTTATTATGGATTGCACTGTTTGGTAGGGGTATGGTTTGGTCTGGGGGCAGAGGTGCTAACCTGGAGGCAAGCCCCCTGATACTTGATCTACTTGACCTTAGGGCTGGGGGCGGACGAAGGCGTCAGGAGCATCGCCACCTGCCGCTTAGCCTACTCAACCTTAGGCACTAGAGCAGACCAAAAGCATATGTGGCACTTTGGTTGCCACGTCCATAGACAGCCATCCAAGCGCTATGTGGCGCTTGATTTTATATCTCTTGGGTGCAATTCAAGCACCACATGGCATTTGGGCTGCCTGTATTTTTGGTATAATTGTATTAAATATATTTTTTTGTAGTATAATTAATGTTTTGAGTATTGATGGTAAAAATATTATTGTTTGTTTTATTTTTTTTTGTATAATTAATATTAAAACAATTATTATATTTTTTCTTAATATAAAAAATATTATTATTTTTTTAGTCTAATTAATAGTATTGATCTCAAAACTATTATTATTTGTTCTCTTAATATTATTTTTAGTATAATTAATAGTATTAATTTCTAAATTATTATTATAGTTGGTGTTATAAATAGTATGATTTTTATAATAATTCATATTATTGCTACTAAAAATATTATTATTTGTATAATAAATTTTTTAATATTTTCATTAAAATTTATAAGAGTATAAATATTATTATCATAATTAATAAAAATTTTAAAATTACTATTATTATGAAAAACACCACGTTGGGGACACGTGACACTTGGTTCCCTCTTGAGGGCAGATAACTCAAGCATCACGTAACGCTTGGTTTGCTTTTTTTTTGCTGCAGTCCAAGTGCCATGTGGCGTTTGAGTTGCCTATACTTTTAGTGTAATTATAAATATTGATGTTAAAAATATTATTATTAGTTTTCTTAATATTCTTTTTTAGTATGATTAATTTTTAGAGTGTTAATAGTAAAAATATTGTTGTTTATTTTGTTGATATTATTTTTTTAGTATAATTAATATTAAAAGAATTATTATATTTTTT